TTAGATCTTTTGTGACTCCTGCTTCTAGCGTTCAATTCAAGCCTATTACAGCTGGATAGAGAAACCAGGAGTCTCAACCAAATCTTATTTTAAAAAAAAAAACCTTCTTTAAGTTGTGATGGATCACACTGGGGTGCTGGTGCTGTCGTATTTAAGCCAAGCAAAAATGTAGCAGTAAAAAAATTTGTTGCAGATGCAAAATATGTGACGCCAGAATATGGTGTCATTGGCGCTGTTCAGGAGAATTGCATTGTTCCCTAACACCCCATAAAGCCTAAAGGGATCACCCAAGCATGTAATTTAAAGGTTTGATGTTATTTCCACGTTCCTTTTTGAAGTCGCATTAAAAGGAAGAACTTCTCACCTTTGTACGGTATTTTTTTTTTTTTTTTGTACATGTAGCCGCATAGCTTTCAAAATGGCCAGAATCTACGTGGTATTAAACCCAAAAGTAAACATATACTGCAGCTTACCAATTCTTACATGTGATGGCTACATTAGTTTTTTTTAGGTATTCTTTCTTTTATTTTCACCTGGTGATCTGGTCAGTAAGTCTGTTGGTTTTCAACAGAACAAGCTCTCCTGCAGATGTATCAGTTAAGAGTGTTGAGACAAACTTCATACCACTGTCAGGGGTGCTTACAATGTTCAGCTTTTATTTATGTATATAAAAACTTTATCCCCCAAAGAAAACAATTGTTGCTGAAACTGCTGTGTGAGCAGGAGTTTGGCTTCAATTTTTACTGTATCTAAATCTGCTAGTACATCTAACACATCCCCCCCCAGATTAACAATGCTGTTGTCTGCTGCGCCGCTGTGCTCCTCTCATCCAGAGAGGGGGACACACTAATACAGGAGATGTTACTGGCCAAATCATCGGGTGAAAACAAATGGAAGCTTAAAAAAAAAGAACAAATGCAGCCACCACATCTAAGGATTGGTAAGTTGCAATATATTACATTTTTAGTTAGAGTTTTAATACTGCTTTGATTATCAAGATTTATCCCCTATAGATTTCAAATAGCTTCCAATTTAGGCTTGGAATTTTCAGACGTCACGCTGGGTTTGATAACTTCCACATGATCCAAACTCAGATAAATTTTTTATAAGACATGTGAACTAAAAGAAACATGTATTATATAATTTTACATAACAGGAGCAGCAGAGAGCAAAATATTAGTCAGACATAAGATGCATAAGACATTGGGGTTGATTTACTAAAGGTAAAAAAGCTCCAGAGCTTAGTAAATGAGGTAAAAGCTTCACTTTGCAAACAATACCCAATCACATGCAAGAAAAAAGAAAACAAACCAGCATTTTTGCTTGCACATGATTGGATGATGGAAGTCATCAGAGCTTCCCCTCATTTACTAAGCTCTGGAGCAACGGCTTTTGCCGAGTGCAATTGCACTTTGCAAAGTGCACAGTCTGTTTGCCTTTAGTAAATTTACCCCGCTGCACCACAACATAGTTCATATGTGTATGTATGAATGTGAGTTAGGGACCTTAGATTGTGCACCCCTTGAGGGTTAGGGACCGATGTGAATGTACAATATATATGTAAAGCGCTGCATAAATTGACAGCGCTATAGAAGTACCTGAAATTAATACATTTTTATTCATTCATAAAACCCACAATTGGTCACATAGGCAGCACAGTGGCTAAATGGTTAGCACTTCTGCTTGGCAGTACTAGGGTTGTTGGTTCGAATCCCAACCACAGTACCACCTGCCTGGAGTTTGCATGTTCTGCCTGCGTGGGTTTCCTCCGTGTACACAGGTTTCCTCCCACATTCCAAAGACATGCTGGTAGGTTAATTGGCCCCTGTCTAAATTGGCCCTAGTATGTGTATATTTGAATGTAAGTTAGGGACCTTAGATTCTACGCCCCTTGAGGGTTAGGGACTGATGTGAATGTACAATATATACAGGTGAAACTCGAAACATTAGAATATTGTGCAAAAGTTCATTTATTTCAGTAATGCAACTTAAAAGGTGAAACTAATATATGAGATAGACTCATTACATGCAAAGCAAGATAGTTAAACCTGTGATTTGTCATAATTGTGATGATTATGGCTTACAGCTCATGAAAACCCCAAATCCACAATCTTAGAAAATTAGAATATTGTGAAAAGGTGCAATATTCTAGGCTCAAAGTGTCCCACTCTAATGACCGCAGCCTGGAGAGGATTATCAGGAAAAGGCCATTCAAAAGTGTTGGGGACTTTCACAAGGAATGGACTGAGGCTGGAGTCAGTGCATCAAGAGCCACCACACACAGACGGATCCTGGACATGGGCTTCAAATGTCGTATTCCTCTTGTCAAGCCGCTCCTGAACAACAAACAACGTCAAAAGCGCCATACCTGGGCTAAAAAAAGACCTGGTCTGTTGCTCAGTGGTCCAAATTCCTCTTTTCTGATGACAGCAACTTTTGCATCTCATTTGGAAACCAAGGACCCACAGTATGGAGGAAGAATGGAGAGGCACACACTGCAAGATGCTTGAAGTCCAGTGTGAAGTTTCCACAGTCTGTGTTGATTTGGGGAGTCATGTCATCTGCTGTTGTTGGTCCACTTTGCTTCATTAAATCCAGGGTCAACGCAGCAGTCTAACAGGAGATTTTGGAGTATTTCATGCTTCCTTCCACAGACGAGCTTTATGGGGATGCTGACTTCATTTTCCAGCAGGACCTGGCACCTGCCCACACTGCCAAAAGCACCAAAACCTGGTTCAATGACCGTGGGATTACTGTGCTTGATTGGCCAGCAAACTCGCCTGACATGAACACCATAGAGAATGTATGGGGCATTGCCAAGAGAAAGATTAGAGACATGAGACCGAACAATGCAGAAGAGCTGAAGGCCGCTATTTAAGCATCCTGGTCTTCCATAACACCTCAGCAGTGCCACAGGCTGGTAGCTTCCATGCCACGCCGCATTGAGGCAGTAATTGTTGCAAAAGGGTCCCAAACCAAGTACTGAGTACATATGTGTCAGGGCTCCCGGGTGTGACCAGAGGTGTGTGACTGACGCAGGGAAACGCAGACTTCAGATATGTTATAAACAATGTAATTTATTAACACTAACAATACAAACATAAACGCAGTGCAATACTAAAACATAACACAGTGCAAACAAACCAAACCACCCACAGATAACAGTACATACAATGCAAGCGTCGTCAGGCAGGCCGGGTCAATATCAATCGGGCAGGTAGGTACAGGGGGAGCAAGCGGAGAATGGTCGGGGTCACAAGCCAGGTTCAGCAGGTAGTGGGCAGCGTGGTACAGAGGGTCAGGCAGAGGAGATTGGTCAGACAAGCCAGGGATCAGGAGCAGGAGAATGGTCAGACAAGCCAGGGATCAGAGCAGGGTCAGCAGAGAATCAGACAGGAACAGGAACAGGAAACAGGGCCCAGGAGAAACACAACACCAAGGCAGAGTCTGCAGGTCTGAATGTCCCTTAAATACACCAGTATAATTAGTTCCAGGTGTTTGACTGGCTGCAAGGTTGAGTCTCTGATTGCTGGGAGCACCCGCTGGCCAGCCCTGGTACTGCAGCTCATAAGGCAGGTGAGTCCCACTATTGCTGACCAGTCCATTCCTGACAGTACCCCCCCCTCAAGGAGCGGACTCAGGACGCTCCAAACAGTCCTAGCTGGGCAAAATGTTCCACCGCCCGGGTCTGGTAACTGGCGGGATATCAAAGACTGGCACACCGGGCAGGACTCCGCAGCGGGCAGCGGCACACCGGGCAGAGGCACACCGGGCAGAGGCACACCGGGCAGAGGCACACCGGGCAGAGGCACATCGGGCTGGACTCCGGGCAGATGCACATCGGGCTGGACTCCGGGCAGAGGCACATCGGGCTGGACTCCGGGCAGAGGCACATCGGGCTGGACTCCGGGCAGAGGCACATCGGGCTGGACTCTGGGCAGAGGCACATCGGGCTGGACTCCGGGCAGAGGCACATCGGGGCTGGACTCCGGGCAGAGGCACTCGGGCAGCGGCACACCGGGCAGAGGGCACTCCGGGCAGAGGCACTCGGGCTGGACTCCGGGCAGAGGCACATCGGGCTGGACTCCGGGCAGAGGCACATCGGGCTGGACTCCGGGCAGAGGCACATCGGGCTGGACTCCGGGCAGAGGCACATCGGGCTGGACTCCGGGCAGAGGCACATCGGGCTGGACTCCGGGCAGAGGCACTCCGGGCAGCGGCACACGGGCAGGGCAGAGGCACTCCGGGCAGAGGCACTCCGGGCTGGACTCCGGGCAGAGGCACATCGGGCTGGACTCCGGGCAGAGGCACATCGGGCTGGACTCCGGGCAGAGGCACATTGGGCTGGACTCCGGGCAGAGGCACATCGGGAGATTACCAGGTGAAGCAGCAGGCACCGGGCCCCCAGGCGGGGCGACAGGCATCGGGCCCCCAGGTGAGGCGACAGGCATCGGGCCCCCAAGCGGAGCAGCGGGCGCCGGGCCCCCAGGAGGGGCTACAGACATCGGGGCCCCAGGCGGGGCGACAGGCATCGGGCCCCCCGGCGGGGCGACAGGCATCGGGCCCCCCGGTGGGGCGACAGGCGCCGGGCCCCCAGGAGGGGCGACAGGCATCGGGCCCCCAGGCGGGGCGACAGGCATCGGGCCCCCAGGCGGGGCGACAGGCATCGGGCCCCCAGGCGGAGCGACAGGTCTCAGGCCCCCAGGCGGAGCAGCGGGCGCCGGACCCCCAGGCGGAGCGGCGGGCGCCGGACCCCCAGGCGGAGCGACAGGTCTCGGGCCCCCAGGCGGAGCGGCGGGCACCGAGTCACCAGGCACGACAGTGGGCTCCGAGTCAACTGGCAAGACTGCGGGCACCGAGTCAACTGGCAAGACTGCGGGCACCGAGCCAACTGGCGGAACAGCGGGCTTCGAGTCGTCTGGCAAGACTGCGGGCACCGAGTCGTCTGGCAAGACTGCGGGCACCGAGTCGTCTGGCAAGACTGCGGGCACCGAGTCAACTGGCGGGACAGCGGGCACCGAGTCGTCTGGCAAGACTGCGGGCACCGAGTCGCCTGGCAAGACTGCGGGCACCAAGTCGTCTGGCAAGACTGCGGGCACCGAGTCAACTGGCGGGACAGCGGGCACCGAGTCGTCTGGCAAGACTGCAGGCACCGAGTCGTCTGGCAAGACTGCGGGCACCGAGTCACCTGGCGGAACAGCGGGCATCGAGTCAACTGGCGGAACAGCGGGCACCGAGTCGTCTGGCAAGACTGCGGGCACCGAGTCGTCTGGCAAGACTGCGGGCACCAAGTCGTCTGGCAAGACTGCGGGCACCGGGCATGCGGGCACCGAGTCAAACTGGCGGGACAGCGGGCACCGAGTCGTCTGGCAAGACTGCGGGCACCGAGTCGTCTGGCAAGACTGCGGGCACCGAGTCACCTGGCGGAACAGTGGGCATCGAGTCAACTGGCGGAACAACGGGCACCAAGTCGTCTGGCAAGACTGCGGGCACCGAGTCGTCTGGCAAGACTGCGGGCACCGAGTCGTCTGGCAAGACTGTGGGCACCAAGTCGTCTGGCAAGACTGCGGGCACCGAGTCAAGTCAACTGGCGGGACAGCGGGCACTGAGTCGTCTGGCAAGACTGCGGGCACCGAGTCGTCTGGCAAGACTGCGGGCACCGAGTCACCTGGCAGAACAGCAGGCATCGAGTCAACTGGCGGAACAGCGGGCACCGAGTCTTCTGGCAAGACTGCGGGCACCGAGTCGTCTGTCAAGACTGCGGGCACCGAGTCGTCTGGCAAGACTGCGGGCACCGAGTCGTCTGGCAAGACTGCGAGCACCGAGTCGTCTGGCGGAACAGCAGGCATCAAGTCAACTGGCGGAACAGTGGGCTTCGAGTCGTCTGGCAAGACTGCGGGCACCGAGTCGTCTGGCAAGACTGCGGGCACCGAGTCGCCTGGCAAGACTGCGGGCACCGAGTCGTCTGGCAAGACTGCGGGCACGAGTCAACTGGCGGGACAGAGGGCACCGAGAGTCGTCTGGCAAGACTGCGGGCACCGAGTCGTCTGGCAAGACTGCGGGCACCGAGTCGTCTGGCAAGACTGCGGGCACCGAGTCACCTGACGGAACAGCGGGCATCGAGTCAACTGGCAGAACAGGGGGCACCGAGTCGTCTGGCAAGACTGTGGGCACCGAGTCGTCTGGCAAGACTGCGGGCACCGAATCACCAGGCACGACAGTGGGCTCTGACTCAATTGGCACGACAGCGGGCACCGGGTCATCAGGTACCGGATTGTCTGGCTCGACAGCGGGCATCGGGTCACCAGGCATCAGGTCATTTGGCTCGCCAGCGGGCACCGCGTCATCTGGCAAGGCAGTGGGCACCGAGTCACCAGGTACGACAGCGGGCTCTGAGTCAATTGGCACGACAGCGGGCACCGGATCAGGTACCGGATCATCTGGATCAACAGCGGGCATCGAGTCAACTGGCCTAATAGGATCGTCAGGCTGGATCAGTTCATCATGCTGGGTAGAGGCATCAGGCTGAATGCAGGCGTCCGGCTGAGTAGAGGCTTCAGGCTGAGTAGAGGCTTCAGGCTGAGTAGAGGCATCAGGCCGAGTAGAGGCATCAGGCCGAGTAGAGGCTTCAGGCCGAGTAGAGGCATCAGGCCGAGTAGAGGCTTCAGGCCGAGTAGAGACTTCAGGCCAAGTAGAGGCATCAGGCTGAATAGAGGCATCAGGCTGAATAGAGGCATCAGGCTGAGTAGAGGCATCAGGCTGAGTAGAGGATTCAGGCTGAGTAGAGGATTCAGGCTGAACCACGGAAGGCAGGTTCACCGGTTTGGATACTGGCAGGATGGTATTGGTTGGAAAGAATTTTCGCTTTTTTCTGGTTTTTAACTACTGGAGCACTGCAAGTAAACGCAGGTCTGCAAACGAATGGAGCAGCTGGAGACAGAGAAGAACTGGAGGATGGAACAGAGGAGGGAGCAGTTGCTACAGAGGGCTTTTTTACAGGGTTAAAGGCAGGATAGGTGCAGCGAGTGGGAACAGGGTACTGACATGCGGTAGATAGCAGGGCAGGAGGAGCTGTTTGGGAATGCAGGAATAGAGTTTTGAGGAAATAGATTAGAAGCAGGACTGGGTTTTTGTAAGCTGACTGAGGCTGGGTGCAACAAATCTGTCCATGTCTGCAGTATGGGTTGAACAAAGCTGAGCTTACACAAAGCCTGTCTGACCAAAGACTGCACTGCGTTTATACAATCTCTTAGTACCTGTGGTGAACATGTGGAATAACGCTCCAGAAAGTAACCCACATCATCCTCTAATAACCATACCAGGGACTCTACCTGGTCTGCACTAAATGGTGGCAAAATTGCTGGGAGCACCCGCTGGCCAGCCCTGGTACTGCAGCTCATAAGGCAGGTGAGTCCCACTATTGCTGGCCAGTCCATTCCTGACAATATGCATGCTTATACTTTTCAGAGGTCCGATATTGTTCTATGTACAATCCTTGTTTTATTGATTGCATGTAATATTCTAATTTTCTGAGATTGTGGATTTGGGGTTTTCATGAGCTGTAAGCCATAATCATCACAATTATGACAAATCACGGCTTGAACTATCTTGCTTTGCATGTAATGAGTCTATCTCATATATTAGTTTCACCTTTTAAGTTGCATTACAGAAATAAATGAACTTTTGCACGATATTCTAATTTTTCGAGTTTCACCTGTATGTAAAGTGCTGCGTAAATTGACGGCACTATAGAAGTACCTGAAATAAATAAATAAACTAGTTGAAAACTTTAGGAAAGAAGAGTTACATAACAAAAAATAACGATCCCAGCTGTCAGTTCTTAACGCTGAGCACACGCAAATATGCGTCTTCTCGGAATCTGGGCCTTGACGCCGAGTGGCCGCATATTTGCGTGCCATTAGAAAATACATATGTGCTGAGTGCGCGCACCCCGCGGACTCCCAGCACATAGGTCCGTGACTCACGGAAAGGTTGCAGTCGGGACCTTTTCCGATCATGTGACCACCATGACAGCGAATCACGGTGGTCACGTGACCCTAAAACCCCGCCCGCCTCCTGGCTTCTGAAACTCTTAAAGGACCAGAAGGCATTGGCGCAAAGAGGTTAAATAGGGATATTACTAAGTGCACAACACCCACCCATTTAATGTGTAAAAATAAAAAAAAAGCATGTCCATTGCACATTTGTGGACAACACTGGTCTTTTTAATATCTGGTGCAAGTTTTGTAATTTATTTATTTATTATTCCAGGCACTTATATAGCTCTGTCAATTTAGGCAGGGCTTTACATATATATTATACATTCACATCAGTGCCTAACCATCAAGGGGTGCACAATCTAAAGTCCCTAACTTACATTCATACATACACATACTAGGGCCAATTTAGACAGGAGCCAATTAACCTACCAGCATGTCTTTGTAATAATTCTCTTTACTTTTTTTCTTTTTAGCTAAAGCTCTGAATTAGTCAAAGATCCCTAATCTAACTCCAAATATCAAGCTTTTTTTAAATAACACATCCCATTACAGTATATCCACCATTGTTTGGGTGTATGCATGGTTGTATGTAGAAAGAGAGAAACACGTACAGGAAGAAATATAAGAAAGAGAAGAAAAAAGGATAAATAATAAAGGAGAGAAAAAAAAGAACATAAATATGTACTGTAATAACTTGTTTTATATCTGCAATACATTTAATAACCTTTGGAGGTGGAAAATATTTGTAGACACAATAATGTACTCCATTCATCTCTTCTATTGTTATGCCTGTTTGTAAGCCCAAATTTGTATTGCCTTGGTCAGTATAAAAAAAAAAAATAGCAAATTATAAAGAATTTAATTGTAAATACACACAATTTCATTATGTCTGTGTTTGTTGATTGGAAGCTTGGAGGTCAACCCAGTAAACATTCGGCTTGCTTGGAACAAACTGTGCAGGAATCTAATAGAAAGCAATATTGTTGAAAATGGATACCAATTGAAAACAGAGAGCAATGTCAACTATTTCCCACTGGGAACTGGCAACAATAAAACCAGCCAAGCATTACACAGTGCAGCCTGCCAAATGTCATTAGTGTGTAGAAACATTTAAAGGAACATTCTTGTAAAGAAGCCCCTGAACCATTTTTTTTCTCAACCCTTGGCAGCCAAGCAGTGATGGTTTATGTTATGTTTTACTTAACAGCCAATAACTGTAAAAGAGAGAAAATATTTACTAAAAAAAAAAAAAAAAAAAAAATTAACGTAAACCATTTTAATTAAAAAAAAAAGTTCCTAAACACACAATGAAGTATAATATAGTAGAGGATGTAACTGATTTTATTCCTGGTATTTTCCATTTAATGTTTATAGTTTTTAGCCTTAAAATTCTAGCAGGGCACTGTGCAGTAGTACTTGAGGTTTTATTTTTATTTAGATATATTTTTTTTTCTTTTTATTGGTGCCAGTAATGGGGCCAGCCAGAGATTGACTTGCGTTTTAACAGCAAATCTTATTTCTGATTTTAAAGCTTTAATGTTTCCTGAGATTCCAAAAGGATGTTTTCTAATTAATCTAACAAAAGAAAATGTGTCTGACTCAGACAATAGATGTTTAATGAATGCAAAGACTGAAATTCGGAAAGAGCCATACAACAGTGCCATCTAGTGAGCCTCTGGTACAGTGCACTGCCTGGTAGAGGGAATGCTTGTCTGCATAATATAATTAAATGAGAGCAGGACCATTGCATTGTATTGCAGTCCTCTGGGGCTGATAACACTGTTTTGGTGGTATGTGCCCAAAAAATCAACAAAGGATTTAGTCTCTGTGATACTGCTCTATATCACTGAAGCTAAGTTTAAAAAATAAAATGACTCTCCCAGGATTTATGATAAGAAAATACACTATTTCAGTAATATGAAGTCATGACACTCATATTAGATGATTATTATTATTATTATACAGGATTGATATAGTGCCAGCAGTTTACATAGCACTTTACAACATAAGGGCAGAGAGTACAATTACAATACAATTTATTAGATTGTACACCCCTTGAGGGTTAGGGACTGATGTGAATGTTCAATATATATATATATATATATATGTGTGTAAAGCGCTGCGTAAATTGACAGCGCTATATAAGTACCTGAAATAAATAGATAGATAGATAGATAGATAGATAGATAGATAGATAGATGGATGGATGGATGGATGGATGGATGGATGGATGGATGGATGGGATGGATGGATGGATGGATGGATGGATGGATGGATAGATAGATGGATAGATGATAGATGGATAGATAGATAGATAGATAGATAGATAGATAGATAGATAGATAGATAGATAGATAGATAGATAGAGCAACCTATTACCAGGACATGTAGACTAGGGCAGAATGGTGGCTTATGACTGTGGTCTTGTACTAAAGTACACATGAAAATGAATTCCAGGTATGGATATTTTTACATAGTTACATTGGTCCAGCATGGACCAATGTAACTATGCATATAATATACATGTGGGATCCCCCAAGAAGCTGGGAATCACTGTAGTAGGCTTCCATGTCCCATGTCAAGTAGCTGCCCTGCTGCTTACTGACCACTTACGGAACATCCAATCATTCATTAAAGTGTTCTACAGGAAAAACTTTTATTTTTAAAAAAACTAACAAACATGTTATATTTACCTGCTCTGTGCAATGGTTTTTCACAGAGCAGCCCCGTTCCTCCTCTTCTTGGGTACCCACCAGCACTCTTGGCCTCTCCTCCCTGCCGAGTGCTCCCATAGCAAGCAGCTTGCTATGGGGGCATTCGTGCGTGCTCGATCCCAAGTCCCCTCTGTGTGTCCATTGACACACAGAGCGTGGATAGGACCTTTCTCTCCTTACTGGCTGTGATTGAGAGTCGAGAGAGCCACTGTTCCCATGCATATCACTGGATGGAGATCAGGCTCAGGTGTGTATTTGGGAGGGGCTGGGGGGGAGCTGCATGCAGAAGGATTTTTTTTAAGGTTTTAAAGTGTTACTAAACCCAGGACCCTGCATTCACTATATCTGGTCTCCCACAGTACACAGAACATGGAAATGCAATTATTTTAGTAAATATAAACTGCTAAATATCTTTTCTCATCAGCAGTTAAAGCAGTCTTGTGACTTCTGTCAGTGTCCAGCAGAGCATTGGTTAAAGCTTGTAGGAGTTTTCTTTCTGCTCTAGGAGGATGCAGAACCCCTGACCTCTGTCTGGAAAGTGCTGATTGGCCCTGTGCTGATCACATGCACTCTCCCAAGAAAAAAAAACATCTCTAGCAATACACACCAAATTGAGCATGTGTCTCCACGCATGTATTATCAGGAGATAAGAGGGGGGCACTAAAAGAAGGGGAGGATCAGAGAAGACAGGATCAAACAGCATTTTTACACAATGCAGATGATTAACCCCTTAGGTTCCACAATGAGTACTACAAGCATGCTGTACTGCATATACAGACTGATTTTACTGTTGTAGGTTTAGTAACACTTTAAGGTAAAAAAAAAAGTCTGCCTTTAGGACCAATTTAAGAAAATGCAAAGCATTCTCTGAATGGAACCTGTGCTGAGCAGGCAACCTCCTGTGTTCACACAGCAGAGCAACTGCTTGGCACAAGACATGGCAGCAAGTGGAGATCACTGTAGTATTGGTGTCTACTAAAGTGATTTCCAGCTTCCACAGGGATCGGCCAAGTCTGATATATGCAAAGTTACATTGGTCCCAGCTGGACTAATGTAACTATGTATAAATATC